TAATGCATAGAATGGACTCCGGACTAGGTGCGTTTACGTCTTCCTACCAATATGACCGAGTTGCGAAAATAAGGTCAAAAAACCTCTATACAACGAAAGGAGACTGCGACCGCACAAACGGCCACACTATCTTCGTCTTTATACCTTTGATGTACATAGATAGTTGGTTCATGACATTGTGGTTGACTACTAGTTAAGTCTGACATAAACGAATTAATCTATCCAAGCTGAGCACAGACAATCCACTTCTTGCGTATGCATAAGCTTTCTTACATCTTAGGCGATAATCAGTAGTTTACAGCTCATGGATTTGCAGTTTTCTCACGTATATATGAAGTATTAACCTCAGGCCCACAGCCTAGTTCGTAGATCATAAATAATGCCAACTTCGAAAAAGTTACATTGACCTGGTGGTGATCATAAAAGGATTAGTATCATAGGGAAAGAAGCCATAAGTAAAGTTGCAGTCTGTTCTGAGGCGAAAGCTGTAATACGTGTCCAAATACAAGAATTTAAATTGCGAGATGATTAGGAATGAGTGTTAATGCGGGTTAGGTTTGCCCATAAATACAATACGATATTGGTTATCAAAATTCTTACTTCTAGGTTATACTCAGTTCATTTTTATAACGACCTGACCACATAAGTCGTAGCGAACTTCCTTTGCTAAAACAAACTGTGAAAATCTGTATATTAGATCTATGCGCGGTCTAGACTATAGTCCATCCTGAGTTAAAATACCTTTTGGCCATCAAGGCTATGCAAAATTCGATGGAAACGTAAGGTGTAATCCTATTCGTTTGGGGTGATTCAACTCCCTGTCTTATTATCATCCGGAATTAAAAGGTGTTAATTTATCTAAATTTTTTGGTTCGGATTAGGTCGCTAAGTTCAATAGACCACTTATCCGTTTTTGCTATTTGCATTACTCTAGCAAACACAATAATAGTAGCTCTCCCTCATTAAGACTGAATTCATTTGACTCATAACGAGAATGTTTATGCAACCATTTTTAGATTTAAAGTCGTAACATTTAG